GTGGCGGGGGTGTTTCGGGCTCTCGGGCAGGAGGCCGATGCCCGTTGGGCGGCGCTCATCTTCTTCGACGTCCGAAATGCCTTCAATACGCTTGAGCCGACAATGGTTCTTGGATCTTTGGAGGAGAGGGGTAGTCCGGATTACCTAATGAATGTAATTGGTGACTATTTTAATGAAAGGAAGCTGCATGTGGATAAAGGAATGGTTGTAGACGTATCGGCCGGTGTTCCACAGGGGTCTGTTCTGGGTCCCACGCTATGGAATCTAGCATATGACGGGATCCTACGTCGCGAATACCCTGAGGGCTGTAAGCCCTTTGCGTTCGCGGACGATCTCGCAGTGCTGGTGGTAGCGGGGGACTTGGACGAACTCCGTTATCGAGCAACGGTCGCATGCGAAGGTGTGTATGATTGGTTGAATGGCCGGGGGCTTGTACTGGCAACAGAGAAGACTCAGGCCATTATCCTGAAGGGTCCGAGGAAGAGAGAGGGTGTATGGTTTGAATATGAGGGAGTGAGGATTGTACCCAGCAGGTGCGTGAAGTATCTGGGTATAACCCTGCATGAGAATGGGGGCTTTGGTGAGCACCTCAGGAGTGTGACAAGGAGGGCAGCGGAGAGAGCGGCTGCGTTGGGGAGGATTATGCCCAACATCGGCGGACCTAGCTCCGAAAGAAGAAGGGTCCTAACCGGGGTTGTTCAGTCAGTCGTCCTCTACGCGGCACCGGTGTGGTATAAAGCAGCAGAGGTTTCCGTATACCGAAATCTTCTGATGCGAACGGATCGAGTTTGCTTGATACGTACGGCATGCGCATGCCGCACCGCACCTACTGCTGCTCTATACGTTATTACTGCTGTGGTACCCACACATTTGCTAGCAGGAGAGAGATATAGGATGTATGTGCGTTGAAATGTGGATGGTAGAACAAGAAGTGAGGAAAGGGCCACTACTATCGAGAAGTGGCAGCGAGAGTGGGAAGGAGTGAAGGATGTGGCACAGTGGACGAAGTCGCTGATCCCGAATATCCGACGGTGGGTGGAATGTGGGCATCGGCGTGGTGGATACTTCCTTACTAAGGTGCTCACAGGCCATGGATGTTTCCGGACCTACCTGAAGAGGTTCGGGAAAGCGACTGACGACCGGTGTTTATATTGCCGCGAGGTGGACACTGTGACGCATACTCTGTTCCATTGTCCTAGATGGGTAGCGGAAAGGGTAAGGATGAATACGGGTTTTGGCAGAACGATAATGAGTGTGAATGAAATGGTAGAGGAAATGATGATAAGTGTTACTGGGTGGAGAACGGGAGAGAGTTTTGTTCGCGAGGTTCTCGCCGCTAAGGAGAGAGAGGAGCGGGTGTTGGTCATATAGTCGTCGTTGGTTGGCAAGGATTGAGAGGAAGGATTAGATTGAGGGGGCGACTGGAGGGTTATATTGAATGAGAGAGAGTTGACGGCGCAGGTCACCAGACGTGTATCTTCACAGACAGTTCCAGGTGGCCTGTGAAGTCCCTGCAGTGTTTAGTCCATGCGACACGGCCTATGGCGAGGTTTGGGACAGATTGTTAAAAATTGTATAATAAATCCGTTGTTTAATTGTTGTTTAAACCACCCAAAATAAACACTTGCGATTCATGCAGTACATTCACCGCTCAATTGAAAAATAATCTTACTGCAGATAAACTTATCGGTGTACAAGCTGATCATGATGTTTACCTAATTAAATTTAAAACTCGGTATAACTTAAAACAATTATACTTTATTGTGGCTAAAGAGTTACCAAAACACAAAGTACTATCTGGTGATTTGCAAAAATGTTTGTCTTCACCACTAACAAACAATTGTATCAGTTTCTATAAAAGAAAGATTTGGACATTAAATTTTACATTATGATGCCAGTGATTGTTCTGTACAATATGTGATGTGGGACGAATCGAAAAGAGCCCGTGGTGAAAATGAAAATGCCTCGTCAATTTTGAATTAGGCTGATAATACAATTCCAGATAGTCACGTAGAGGACATCACTCTTTGGACCAATAACTGCTATGGACAAAATAAAAATATAAGTACTATAATGTGCCATTTTTGAACACTGCATACGTACCATCAAATAAAGACGATGACTCAAAAGTTTTTAGTGAAAGGGCACACATATGGAATCAGACAGTGTTTATGCTTTGATCGAGAGAAAAAGAAAGAAACTCTCCAATTTGATAATGTTAACACCATGGGACTAGCATCAGCTAGTTAAGCAAATATCAGGTTAATACACAGGTTGATCTTCTTTACAGAACCATTGAGAACGATGATGGTACAGAATCTAAGCTTCAGTTGATTGTACCTAAAAGTAACGTGTCAGAAGTATTGCGTCAGTTACATGACGGTGCATCAGGTGGACACTTTGGTATTACGAAGACTCTGCAGAAGGTTCGAGAACAGTTTCATTGGGTGAACTGAAACCAGTAATGGTTCAGTTGGTAAAAAGAAGGCACCCATGAAACAGTATAATGTTGGTAGTCCTATGGAAAGAGAAGCAATCGACATTGCAGGTCCACTTCCAGAGACGAATGATGGAAATAAATATATCCTGGTAGCCATGGATTATTTTACGAAATGGACTAAGGATTATGCGATACCAAATCAAGAAGCTGCTACCGTTACAGAAGTACTGGTTTAAGAATTCTTTAGCCGATTTGGTGTCGCCCACTCCGACCAAGGGCGAAACTTCGAGTCAAACCTTTTCCAAAACGTTTGTAAATTGATTGGTGTCAATAAGACCAGAACGACACCCCTGCATCCTCAATCAGATGGAATGGTCGAGAGGATGAACCGAACGATGGATAAACACCTATCCAAAGTTTGAGCAAAACATCAAAGAGATTGTGACCGGCACATTCATTTATTCCTAATGCCTACCGTTCCGCCGTGAATGAAACTACGGGCCAGACTCCAACCTGCCTGATGTTAGGTCGTAAAGTTCGTTTGCTCTGCGACCTAGAGTTTGGCTGCAGACCTTCTGAAGAACATGTTGAATGCAAACATTATGTCGACTGCCTAAAGTTAAGAATGAACATCATTCATGAACTTGCCCGACAACATATCCAGTTAGCCAGGACAGAATGAAAAATCAATACGATTCTCGATGCAAGAATGAAAGCTTTAAAGTAGGTGATCTTGTTTGGCTTTATAATCCACAACGTCGTCGTGGCTTGTCTCCTAAATTGCAAAGACAATAGGAGGGTCCGTATGAAATTAAAAATAGAATAAATGACGTAATATACCGAATTAAGAAGTTGCCGAAAGGTAAACGTAAAGTAGTTCACATAAATCGTCTTGCACCTTATGCTGGCTTAAATGAAACAGAATAAGTACGAATCCTTCATCATGAAATTAAAGATGACCGGCGACGAAGCTTTAATGAGTTTATGTCAAATTACGCAAAGAGAAAGAGTGCTAGATTCGGCGTGACAACAGAAGTTCAGCAGGATCTTTTTAGTGTTCCACATAACGTCACTCTAGCCCACTGTGTTGCCCAAGATCTTGAGATGACTAAAGGAATCTCATCCGTATTTTATAAGAAATTCGGTCGCTTGGACGAGTTAAAAAACCAGCAGCCTAAAGTTGGAAGAGTACTGAGATTAGAAGATGGTTCCCGATCTTTGCTGTATATGGTGACCAGGAAGTCGTATACAGACACGGCAACCTACGAGGATATATGGTGTGCTCTAACTAATTTGAAGAAAATCGTCTGCAATTACGACATTAAGAATTTGGCCTTACCCAAGATAGGCCATGCACTAGATAATCTGGATTCGAAGATTGTCAGAAGCATGTTTGAAGTGATTTTCCGAGAAACCGGTGTAAGAATTACTGTATGTTGCACTAATCCGAAGAGATTGTATCCTTCAAAGACAGTAGACTGTTATTTCTTCCTGAGTGGTTCATGCAGAGCTGGAGAGTCCTGTAGATTCCGAGATTCCGCCATCCTGGGGCCTACATATAGAGTTGCTGATCGGGACGCTCAATTCTAAGAGGGGAGCAGTGTTACGAACACGCATTCAGCGTGGCCCGCCTAACGGATGCATCTCGAAGCATCTCAGCCATCGAGAACCATCCATAGATCTCTTGAACACAAAAGAACAATCCGTCACGTATTTGACTGAATTAGAATTAGAGGTGGGAATGTTCTAGAACATAGTAACTTTGATATATATATATATATATATATATATATATATATATATTATATATATATATATTATATATATATATATATATATATATATATATATATGTAACGATGTTATTAATAAGTTGTTGATAAGAGAGTACCGAACTGTAAACTTATAAATAATTATAGTTATATAAATTCGAACCGCTCGTTTTATTTAATCTCCCTACAGTGACTTATTCCCGTTTATATGATCTGAAGATAGGCAAACATATAGCTAAAATAACAGATGGGCGATAAACAAAGAGTTTATTGAAATGGAGACCCATGAAAGATAAGAGAAGTGTTTGTCGTCCATTTACACAATATAGGAAGGCAAAATAAAAATTAGATGAGAATGGCGCAAGATAGATGAGGTTGGAAACACAGGGAAGAGGCCTATGTTTTTGACGCCGAACAATGACGAGATGGTCATTTTTTGGACATTGGATCCATTTATTGTAAGAGTCTCAAAATTTCTTTGAGTTTTCGATATTCTCTAAATTGTCTCTTCTTGTCGTTCATTGTTAGACCGTTCAATGTTATGGTCGGTTGGCCAACCTCGGATGGCTTAATTTTTATAGATCAAATCTAATTTTCATATTTAAAAATCTGGAAAACTCGATTTAATTTATAATTTATTAAAAGACAAACCAAAGTTTTTAACTATTGATGTATTGCTGCAGCATATCCACATTACTAATTACGGTTAAAAAATTATTGGCACTGAATGGACGTTTAAAAAAGTAAACAAGATTTTTAAGAGTATAGAAGAAAAATGATTACCTTACCTTTAATGGACTTTTTGTTGGCTTTATATTCGCTAGCATTTATGGGTAATTCATAAGTAAGGGCTTGCTTTCGTATATCTTCTATCAAATTTGTCAAAAATGCCACATCTTTAGCTTTGTTACTCGAAAATCTAAAATACATAATTATCATATATATTGTTATGGATCAGTTTATCGGTCAGAAATAGAATAAAGAGTTTTTTATTATTTTAATATACCGCGAGCATATAAGTTAAAATACAACCCTGTACTTATTTGTAATAGTTAGAATAAGAGAAAACATTGTTCCGTGACGGGACCCTAACGAGTTTTTCCGTAAAGGACTGAGTGAATAGTGAAAGGACAATGGAATCAGTATAATTATAGATTTAGGAATAAACTTGTAATTGTATTTTGCGGTGGGCATTTTTCGAAAATAAATAAGAATTAGATTTAGATAAGAGATAACAAGAATTTGGAAACTTATTTCTGTTGAAAAAGGCAAAATTGTTAATAGTTTCTGAAAAGTAATTTGAGTGAAAGTAGTTTATTTGTTTTAAATATCATGTTGGAAATTTTCTAAATCGAAAATAAGTGGGAAAGATGAATGCGTATGATTGGTTAAAAAAGAATGGTGGGAATGAGAGAGTTGAGAAGGTTGTCTGGGAGAGATTGAAAGATTATTATGTTACCGGCAGACCAGAAGAAAAGACGTGTTTTTGTGTAGTCAATCTGAGTACCAGTGTTTTCGTTTGTTAGTGAAAAAGGTGGAAGCTGAGAGCAGATCAAAATCGAGAAGATTAATACCTCTTTTGAGTCTGCATAGTCCACAAGATATAATTGAGAAGGAAAGGAAAATTTGTGAATAAATAGTACTGGTCAAAAGAGGCTTGGGCTTGTGTTTTCGGAGGAGTAGTTTGCTGGTATGCGGTTTGGATCGATGCTGAGAACGGGAAAGATTTGATGGTAGCCGGACATAATCAATCAAGGAAGGAACTTTGGTTTGATCGAGAGGAGACATCATTGGTGTAAAAATAAAGGTCAGTCAAATAATTTGAATGAAAGAAAATTTTAAGATAATTTATATATTTTTTTAAATTTTTATATGGTCATTTTTTTAGTAGATATTATTATAAAACAGATCAATAGATAGTTTGTAATTAAAATTAAATTTAGAGTATAGGAGTTTGTTGGGAAAGATAATTGCCCACAGAAGTTATTTATTAATATTAATCGTATTGTTTATTGAAAATAAATAATAATTTGTGTGCATATTTATGTTGTTTTAATGTTAGTTCCGTTTCCTGTTCTATCCCGATTATGAGCAACTAGGAGATACTGAACCCACTAGAAGAGATATATAAAGGAAACTGATTAAAGTAATAATTTTTAATAAAAAGGCACCCTGAGAATTTTTAATAACTGAATAGTACTTTAATACTGAATATAATTCAGTAACTGAATTATATGACTCTGCATAAATTAGTGAATTAATTAATTAAATAATTGGCTTAATTAAATTAGCGTTAATTAATAATAAAACATCATAAAGCAGATCACAAATATATATATATATATATATATATATATATATATATATATATATGTAAAAATACTTTTTTTCTTTTTGGGTGTGGTAGTCAATAAAAAATAGAGCTTTGCTAAGGCGTACTATTTATTCTGAAATCCGAGCTTTCGGTGGTTGTTTGCCACCTTTATCAAGGTCTACAATGAAAATTACTGTGTTATAAACTTTGGCTGATGCAATATAAAAGTTATAAAAACTTACCAGAAAGTAAGATTCATAGCATATAAAACACAACGTTAAATAACATAATGTGATCTGAATTACTGAAGGCATTAAAACTGTTAAAGATAACTTAAAAATTTAAGAACATGTTACAAAGTTTAAAATGTAAAAAATAAGACATGTTTGACAAAAAACAGTATATATATATATATATATATATATATATATATATATATATATATATATATTTTTTATTGACTACCACACCCAAAAAGAAAAAAGTATTTTTACATATATATATATATATATATATATATATATTATATATATATATATATATATATATATATATATATATATATATATATAGGGTGAGTAACCACTAATGAGACGGAAGATTACAGCGAAGCGGTAAAAGATTAAAAAAAAATTTAATTTATAGTTTGAACGTTGGTAAGAGCTACGTTTTAAAATTATTTTAAAATATACAGGGCGTCCCAATAAAGTACGGCGTATGAAAGTTATATTTTTTAGGGGTACCCTATATTTTATTGCATTTTATAATTGTTGGCAAAAAACAAATTTTCTCTTACAGCAAAATAGTTGGGTAAGGGTTAAATTTATTTTATTATTAATTACTAAACATTTATTTACATGGTGTTAAAAACTTTAACACCATGTAAATATTTGAATTGTTACGTTTTAATTTTCGATTATTCAATATCTAATTTGAAGCTTATTTTAAATGGAACACCATGGATAATAATTAATCGTAATACTAAAAAAGTTTCCTTTTTTTAATGGTATAAAGATGTTCTATATTTAAGTCTCATAGTTTTTGCGTAATTTACAATTATTTAAACTCTTTATTAGTATATTAATTTTAGTTAATGTCATTATATGACATTGTCATTTTCTGACATTACAGTCTGGTAATTGCCAAAATATAAACATTCGTGTGTAATATTTAACTTTCATTGTTTCTAAAAATGTAGAATTACGCTATTCATGAAAGAGTCGACAAGGTACTTTGCATTGGAGAATGTTTGGAAAATTGTCTCTTAGCTTCTAAAGTTTATGCTCAAAGGTATCCTGATGGAAGACACCCACAAAAGGAAGTTTTTGAGTTATTGCTTAATAAATTCCGTGCTACTGCTAATGTTGCATACGAAAAGGTAAATACAAATAAACCAGTTATTGGTGACAACGTTAACGAACTTAATGTCCTGCTTTCTTTTACGGAAAACCCAAATATTAGTACAAGAAAAATTTCGGGTGAATTAGAAATTAGTCAAACTAGTGTATGTAAAATACTTTCACCCGTATCACATTCAACTTCACCAGCATTTGACAGAACAAGATTATGGTAACCGTTTAAATTTTTGTTTGTGGACTTTGGTTGGAGAAGAATCTGATTTTTTTGAAAATGTATTATTTACAGACGAATCGACTTTTCATAATAATGGTATAGTCTTCTCCTTCAAGTTCCACTCCTATCGGAGATTGGAAATCATTCTGGCAATTATAATTTTATTGGTTACTCGCCTGAATAGTTTAATTGAACTGCATCCAAACCACTCACGGAGATTGCGTAGCCACGAGATTTTACGTCTTCCTACGCTTCTTCTGCCTTTGATTTTACCCTGCATTATATTCCTTAGTAGTTCGTACTTTTTACCTCTCATGATGTGCCCCAAGTATTCCAATATCCTGATCTTTATGGAATTTAAAACTTCGCATTGTTTTCCTAGTTGTTCGAGAACTTGTTCGTTTGTTTTGCGATCCATCCATGATATTTTCAAAATGCGTCGGTAACACCAACTTTTCGAAAGCTTCTAGGTTTTTAATGTTGGATTTTTAAGTGTCCAAGCTTCAATTCTATACAAAAGGGTAGAGAAAATATAACATCGAAGCATTCTTATCCGGAGCGATATATTGATGTCGCGATTACAAAAAAGTTTTCTCATTCTATTAAAAGTTGACCGCGTAATTTCAATGCGGCATCTTATTTCTTTTGTCTGATCAGTATCTTCTGTGATCCAAGCTCCAAGGTATTTGTACGAAGATATTTGTTCACTTTCTGTATTATCTAGTACTAGCTTAACTTTGATGTTTTGTGCTTTTGTAAATACCATGAACTTGGTTTTCTTCAAATTAATTTTTAGTCTATAATCGTTGCAATATATATTTAGTTGTTCAGCAAGGTGTTGCAGTTCTTCTAGTGTTTCTGCCAGAAGGACGGTGTCATCAGCATATCTTATGTTATTAAGTGGCTCACCGTTTATTATAAGGCCCTCACTGATCTCGGCAAGCGCTAATTCTAAGATGGCTTCACTGTATAAATTGAATAACAAGGGTGATAAAATACACCCTTGGCGGACCCCACGGCGAATCTGGATATCCTTGGTCAGTTCGTTTTCAACTTTCATATTTGCTGTTTGATTCCAATAGAGGTTACAGATGATTCTAATGTCTCTACTGTCTATGTTTTTATTTAATAAAATTTCTTTAAGTCGATTATGCTGCACTCTGTCAAATGCCTTCTCAAAATCAATGAAACAGGCATATACTTCCTAAATAATATCTAAGCATCTCTGCGAAAAAACACTTACTGCAAACAGTGTATCTCGTGTTCCCAGTGCTTTCCTAAATCTCATTTGTGTATTACTTATGCCTTCATCTAATTTCTTATGTATTCTATTGTGAATTACTTTTAAAAACAATTTTAAGACATGACTCATTAAGGTGTGATGTTCATTGCACTCCTTTGCATTGGCTTTTTTGGGAAGCAGTATGAATGTTGATTGGAGCCATTCTTTAGGTATTATACCTGTTTTATATATGGTATTGAATGGATCCAAAAGAAGATCAATAGATTCAGTATTCACAATTTTAAGTAATTCGATAGGAACTTCATCAGGCCCGGGAGATTAATTACATTTAGCTTGTTTCATTGCATATTCAATTTCTTCTCATATAATGTCAGGCCCAGTATCATCCTTAAATTGTTTTGGTGCTTCTGTTCTCTCTTTGTCTTCAAATAGTTGTGCTATATATTGTGTCCATCTCTGCATTTTTTGGTTTATATCTGTTATAAGTGCACTTCTTTCATTTATTAGTTGCCTAGTTTGAAGTGTTTTTCTCATTCCTGTTAATTCTCTAATTCTTTTATGCATATTAAAAAAGTCATATTTTTTCTCAATTTCTTCTCGTTCTTGGCACTGCTCATGTAACATTCTCTCCTTAGCTTCTTTTATTCTCTTTTTTATTAATCGATCAGTTTCAATATATTTAATTGGATTTTTTGTTTTGAATGATTTTCTTTAATTCATTAATAGTAGTATTTCTTCAGTCATCCAATCTTTATGTTTTCTATTCTTTGGTTTTAAGTTTTCATTTGCC